GGGCTTCTGAGACTGTGTTACTGGTGGTGAGGTGGAAAGAATATATGGGGGGACGGGGGGCAGCGAGGGGGGGGGGAAGGAATAACCAGTTTTTTTCCCCCCTCCAGTCTCTGGACCTTATTGAATGTCATTGAAGAAAGTTTTGAATGCCGGATAAAGAGAGGCGAATTAAAGTGTGTGACAGCGGAGGCTAAGCAAACACAAAGAGCACTCTGTCACACTTCGGGGCAAAATCCGTGGGCTTTTTACCAAGTCTCTTCGCTATGATTGAATTAAGTAATAGGAAAACATTTTCTTTCAGTTTAGAGCCATTAGACAAAAACTTCAAAGCGAATAACACTTTTTAATGTGCGTCCTCACAATGGAGCCGGGTTTGTGCTGAAATGTTTAAATGGTTTGTTGTGCGACTCTGGCGCGGGAGAGAGCCCCGGGCCGGGCGGAGCAAGCGAGCATCCGGAGAGGGTTGTAGCGCGGTCTGCGACCCAAGGGCACGCCAGCCGCCATCGACAGTCACGAAAAGGAGCGCCCTGCCCTTGGGTGACCATTCAGAGAAAAGGAAATGCAGTGCCCATGGAGAGGGCGGGCGAGAGGGTGGGTCCTAGATTCGACGCCCCGTGAGACCAAGAGGAGCCGGCGCGCTGGCCTCACCAAGCTGGATTCCCCGACCCGCCACTCGGGGTTTGGAGCACCCTGGGTGTGCGGTGCCTCGAGCTCCGCTGCCAGGCAGCCTAGCCTGGCTTCGTTGCGCCATCCTCTAGCTTAAAGCGCCTGCCAGGGTGGCTTCCACCGGATTTGAACTGTCCTACGCAGAGCCCAAGACCCCCCTCCCCCTAGCGGGGCGGGGCGGTGGCATTAGCCTGACAGCCAGAGAGAGGGGCCCAGGGAGCCCCCAAGCCTGGCAGGCTGGGCTCTGTCCCTGCCGCTGGTTTTTCAAGTGCCCCTCAGGGACAGTTCGACATGGAATAATTTCTGTTGTTCCAGGCTTTTTCGTCCGTTTGATACTGCCTCTTTTCCTGTTCCTCCCCCTCAGGAAATGAGCTGCGAGATGTTTGCCGCACATACCCCACGCTTAGAGCTGGGGCTGGCTAGTGGGGTGCGGGCTTGGAGAGGGTGTCTGGCTGAGCCACTGTCGTTCTTTAATATCTCGGGGTGGCACCCACCTCCCACACCCTTCAGAGGAGGCCGCTGGCTCCCTGGGGAGCAACTTCTGACTCCCAGAATGCCTTGCTCAATCCTTTGTTCTACCAGCTGGGGCCTCCAGGCAAGAGGGCTGAGAGGTGCCCTGGAAAGGTGGATCTAGTGAGCTCTCTGCAGCCCAGATCTACAGCAGACCCTGGCATCTAGTAGGCACTCCATGCACCTGGGTTGAACAAACACATGAATGAAGACACTGTATCCAGGAGGGAGGATTGGGAGGAGGGCTACTTGGGCTTCTTGCCCATTACATCCTAGACATATGGGGGGAGGCGGGCGGTATGGATGCCTCTAAATAGATGTGACCTCTACTGAAGACAGCAGGCGCTTAGGGAGCATGGCTTGAGACCACTGCCCTGTGAGCCAG